GTCAATGAATTCATCAGTTGGTTACAGCAGAGCAGGGAGGGGCTCAGGAGTGTGAAGATACTTTAATGCTATGTAGTACAGAAAAGATGGGGCTTCCTGTAAAAAGGCTGATTATGGGAAGGGGATCATAGGAAAACCAGCAAAGAGGTTGAGAAAGTAGAAAAAAATGAGCAAACAATTAATAGAAGATGCCAAAGCAGTGAATGAGTACTAGAGGCAAAAGAAATCAAATTTTAAAAATCCCAAGGACAGGAAAAATATGAAAATAAATTCAATGAGATCATTAGGAATGATAATGGAGCAATTTTAAGAACTTGCAGCATGGTTCAGGAGAGAAATAGGAGAACTGAGAGAAGAGAAAAGAAATAAGGAATGAATAAAAAAGGAAACTGAAGGACTTTAGGATTGGCAGGGTAACAGGGGCAAAGTAGGGGAGAGAAAACCTGTGGGAGACCATGATCAGCCCAAAAAAAAAAAAAGCACAGGGACTAAGTGCTGATTCTAAAAGAGGAGTAAAAAGAAAAACTATAATAGAGTTTAAGGGAAGAGAACACGAACCTCCATAATTATAACCCTGAAAGTGAATTAAATTACCCAATAAAATGAAAATGAATAGGAGAATACACTTACCCCCACACACAAATCACCAATAATTTGCTGTGTATAAGAAATACGTTCAAAATATAAGGACACAGGGGGCAGTTAGGTGGTGCAGTGGATAGAGCTCTGGCCTTGGAGTCAGGAGTATCTGAGTTCAAATCTGGCCTCAGACACATAACATTTAACTAGCTGTGTGACCCTGGGCAAGTCACTTAACCCCATTGCCTAACAAAAAACCAAAAAAACCATAAAAAAAGTTTAATATACAGTTTTATATATACAGTTTAATAAGGAGAGGCTAGAACAAATATGATTGTGCATCAGGGGATTAAATAAAAAGCAAGAGTTGCAATCATGATTTCAAATAAGGCAACAATGAAATTTCATAATGTTGAGACTACATTGTGCTTACAGACACCATAGACAATGAAAGAGTATGATTAGCAGATATGTGTATATCAATATACACATATCTGCTAATCATTTACTTTATATATATGTTCCCATATATACGTATATACTAATGATACTCTTTCATTGTCTGATATATATGTATATGTATGTATATATGTTTATATTCCAAAAAGTAAAGGTAACTGAATTGCAAAAAAGTGATAGGTAATAACACAGTTATTATGGGAGACTTTGACAATCTTTTTTCAGGGCTGGATATCAAAGATAAACAAAAAGGAAAATATAGACCTGAAAAATATTTTTTTGAAATATTAGATTTTAAACATCTTTGGTGATTTCTAAGTGAAAATGTTAAAGAAATTTACATATTTTACAACAACATATAATACCTGTACAAGAGATGATCATGTGGTAGCAACATAAAAAATCATAAATGTTAAAAGGCAGAAATAATAAATATGTCCTTTACAGAATAGAACTCAATAAAAAGAATCAATCGAGAAAACATAAACAGTAGACACAGACTGATCAGTAGACTAAGTAAAAATATCCTAAATAATGAGTGGGTCAAAGAACAACTTATAAAAAATTGTTTTAAATGAAATATAATGAAATGATGTTCCAAACTTTGTCGGATGAATTTCCTCTGAGCAGAGCAAAATTGGTATTTCTGAAAAAAATATTTAAAAAGAAAAAATGACATTAATGAGGTGAGCATGCAGTTGAAAAGATCCAACAACTGGAAAAATCACCACATTAGCCTCACCAAAACAAGAACAAAAGAAAATTTGAGAGAGATAAAATTGAAAATAAAAAACTATTTTTTTGGTGAAATGAGTAGCTTTTTTAAAAAAGTTAACAAAATTGGTAAACTATTAGCTGACAGTCAAAAAGAGAAAAATAAAATCACTAAGATAAAAAATTAACATGGCAAGCACACAATGTGCAGAGAGGAAATAAAAAAGAATTATCATGAACTATATAATTATATACCACCAAAATTTAGAATAAAGGAAATGGATGATTAGCTTAAAATATATATTCTAATTTTTAAGGAATTATTTTCTTCAGTGAGCTTTTGGACCTTTTCCATTTGGCCAATTCTGCTTTTTGTTCTTTTGGGTATTTTATTTCTTCTCTTCATTGGCTTTTTGAATCTCTTTTGCCATTTGGGTTAGTCTATTTTTTTTTTTAGTCTATTTTTTAAGGTGTTATTTTCTTCAGTATTTTTTTGGGTCTCCTTTAGCAAGCTGTTGACTCATTTTTCATGATTTTCTTGCATCACTCTCATTTCTCTTCCCAATTTTTCTTCTACTTCTCTTACTTGCTTTTCAAAATCCTTCTTGAGCTCTTCCATGGCCTAAGACCAATTCATATTTTTCTTGGAAGCTTGAGATGCAGGAGCTTTGAATTTGTTGTCTTCTTCTGGTTGTATGTTTTGATCTTCTTTGTTACCAAAGTAAGATTCTATAGTCTTAGTTTTTTTTTCCTTGGTTTGCTCATGTTCCCAGCCAATTATTTAACTTTTTAACTCTTTATTAAGGTAGGGGGGGTCTGCCTCCACTGTGGAGAATGTACTGTTCCAAGCTTCAGTAGTTTTGTGCAGCTATTTTCAGAGATACTTCTAGGGACCTGTAAATTTTCAGTTCTTCCAAGGTGGTACGATCCAGGGTGAGGTATTTACTCCTTTCCTGGCCTGTGCTCTGGTCTGTGAGTGACCACAAGCACTCTTTTCTGCCTTAGCACTATGAGGAGGATTCTCTCTCTGCCACCGCTACAAGCTCTACCACGCCAGTGTTTCTCCTCGCCCCATCGTCACCCAGAACTGTGACTCAGATTCGAGCAGGGCAAAGCAAGAGAATCCTGCTTCAGCACCAGCAAAAAGATCCCTGCAATCCCCCTGTGATCAGCTGCTCGATTCCTCCCACCTGTCTGTGGGCTGAGAGCTCTGGAAGCAGCTTCCACTGCCCCAGAACTACACCAGGACTGAGGCTGGACCACATTCCTCTCTCAGGTCCGACAGACCTTTCCTGCTGACATACTAAGTTGTCTTTGACATTTGTGAGTTGAGAAGTCTGGAAACTATCACAGCTGCCAGTGATTCAGTGCCCTGAGGCCTGTTCCAGGTTTGCTGGGGCTCTGTGTTTGCCTGTGGTGCTCATGCTGAATTGCACTTCTCTCCCAGCCTAGAGCAACAGACCTTTCCCATCAACCATCCAAGTTGTCTTGGGCTGGAAATTTGTTTCACTCTGTCTTTTTGTGGATTCTGCTGCTCTAGACTTTGTTTAGTCATTTTTTACAGGTATTTAGAGGGGTTTGGGGAGAGCTCAAGCAAGTCACTGCTTTTACTCTGCCATCTTGGCTCTGCCCCCTTAAAATATATAAAATACCCAAATGAACAAGATAAGAAATAACAATTTTAAGCAATCCAGTAACAGAAAGAGAAATCTAACAAGCCGTAAGTGAGATTTCCAAGTGCATTCTACCAAACTTTTAAAGAACTACAAAAATTGTTCTTAAAAATTAAAAAAAAGGTGCTATACTAAATTTCTTTTATGAGACAACTATGGTCCTGAGTCTCAAACCAAAAAGAATGCCAAAGAAATAGAGTTGTAGACCAAGATCACTAATGCACATTGATTGATGCAAACATATTAAGTAAAATTTTTAGCAAAGATACTTGAACAATGCATAAAAAAGCAGTATGATTTTGTTGGATGCAATGATCCTACAATGTTACAAAAACAATTAGTATAATTAATACTATAAACAAAAAAATCCCACAAGATTGCATCTCAATAGATGCAGAAAAACCTTTGCCAACATATAGCATTGATTTAACCTTAAAAATACTAAAAACATAGGTATAAAAGCAGCCTTTTTTGTATGACGCAAAGTATAGATTTAAAATCAAGAGTTATCTTTGTAATGGAGAAACACTAGGATCTTTCCCACTAAATTTGGAGTTAAAGCAGGATAGTTCCCCTTTCTCACTTTATCTGATATAGTTCGAGGAAATGCAAGCCATAGAAGTTAGACAAGAGAAAGACATTAAGGATTAAATTAAGTTAACTAAAATTACATTAAACATTGGAAAACAGGAGACAAAATGACCCCTATTTACAGAAGATATGTTGGCATATTTAGAAAATCTAAGAGAATCAGCAAAAGAAACAAATTTCAATGAATACTGGCTTCAGAAAAGTAAAAAAAGATAAGTAGAAAAATACATGAAAATATACATAAAATGTTTGTATAGTACTAATAAAAATCATGATGAAATAAAGAGAAATTTAATTGAAATAACTACAAAAAAAGAAATATCTGGAAATAAGCCTACTGAAACACTCAGAAAACATGTAAATACAAACACAAAATATTCTTTTAAAAAATTTTTTAAAAAAATTTTAATTTAAAAAAAATTTTATTTAATTTTTAAAAAAATTTTTATTTAATTTTTTTTGGAAGAACTATTTTATCTTATTTTATTTTTAATTAAAGAAAATATTGTTTAGAGAAATAAAAGAAGACAAATAATTGTGGAGAGATTTTATTGACATTCATGGCTGGACCCCTATGTTAAAAATGACACTACTACCTAAATTAAATAGCGCTATTTCAAACAAACAAACAAGAAGTTACTGTATAGAACTAGACAAAATAATAATGAAACTTATTTGGAAGAATGGAGATCAAGCATTTCTAGGGAAATAATGAAAAAAAATCTAATCATTAATTAGTCAATAAACATTTATTAAGTACCAACTATGTGCCAGGCATTGTGCTAAGCACTAGGGATACAAAGGGGCAAAGGACATTATCATATTTCAAATTATGTTATAGAGTGGTAATCATCAAAACCATTTGGTATAAGTTAAAAATAGAAAAGTAGATTTTACTAACAGACTAGATAAAATAGGACCTAGGAGGGGGAAAAATATGCAGTAACTAATTTTTTTGTAAACCTAAGAGCACAAGTGACTGGGAAAATCCAATTTATTTGATAAAAACTGCTGAGAAAACTGGAAAGCTGTTTACTTTCAAAAAAAAAAAGGTTTAGACACCACCATATGGTGTCTAACCATATACCAGAGTTAAGGTTTTTTTCTGACATAAGGAAGAGCACTGTTTATGTGTTCATGATTCAGAGATTATGGGAAGCTGATTGAATTGTAAAAACAAAAATGATTTTTTTAAAAAGAGAGATGGAAAAGAACTTTACCAGACTCCTCCTGGGCATACCCTCTACACTTTCAAGCCTAGGGGAAATAACAAAGAAAGCAGATAGAGTGGGTAACACAAAGTTGACAGTTGCAACCTTAAGGTTGTGAGGCCAGCCTGGCATGTCTAGCTGATGGCCTAGTTGAATGGGGGAGGGACCAAACCCTTTCAATTCCATTGAGGAAAGAGAATCAGTTCAGTGAGTGTTGGAAAAATGAGGAAGTAAGACATTTATGGTCAGAGAAGAAGCCTGGGTAGAATTCTTTCTTTTCTCAAGAAAACTTGGCCTTTCTACCTCTAGGGTTTAAGAAAGGGTCAGAGGAAAGGAGGGAAACACAAGAACAGATAGATACTGAGAGTGTCTTTAGCCAGGAGTTCAATTTCCTAATATTTCATCCATCTCTGGGATGCTGAGTAGACTTCGTGTGCCTCAGGCCAAGGTACTCTACCCCTTTCTCTTCTTTCTTTTCTACTCTAAATACTGCAGAGTTCCAGTATAATGAATTTCTATCCCTTCTCTGATCCCCTGATTATCTTCTGAGCAGGGGAGGGGGTGACTTTTTCCTTCTTCCTCACTTTTAATGTTGGGGATCAGAGTAGAAGTTCTCTCCCCTTCCCTCATCTGCCCAGCCCCGCAATTCCCAATCTTTTGTAAGTCTTAAATAAACCCTTCCTTTCACATAGCTGTCTATAAGTAGCTCCAAAAATGTATCCCATAAACTAATTGTGAAACATATGTTGTTGATTCAAAGTTAAATGTACCAGCCGGGTATTTCGTTTTCATTACCCATGAATCTTTTTGTCTTCCCTCCTGTTCATTCCATTCCCTTACCCTTTCTCTACCACCATCTGCACCCCCATCCACCAAATCCAATACACTCAACTCTCTGTGGATCTTTCTCCTTTCCCATGAAATGAATTCTTGCTCCATTTTTTTTTTTTTGCATCTCTCAGGTTGGAGAGAGGGTGGTGATGGAGGTGCCTAGGGTCTCTCTATGCTTAGTGGGTCTTTTTCTATGTGACTACATTTGGCATTTGCATATGTACATTCTAATAAGTAGCCGTGAATGATTTCATTATTTCAAGTAGTGTTTTTAGTTGATTCTCTAGGATTAGACTCCCAAATAGCTTATATTGTCTAAAATGGAGCCATGAATGGTTACATCTGACACCCTCATGTCAAGGCTCAGGGGTGGCCCCTAAAGCATAGAGCCTTCATTTGCCATCCTCTAGGGTTGGCTCTGCCTAAGGATCTTAAACATGTCCTATAAGGCCAAAAGCAGACGACAGAAGCCTTGAGATGGAACCAATAAGGTGTGTGTATGTACTCTCTCTCTTTTTAAAAACTGTGAATAATAATGGATTTACTTTTTTTGTCACTTAAATATTGTCAGTCCTTCGAAGAATCTTGCAAGGCAGCTTGACCATACAGCATGCTGGACAGTCCAGGGCTTCTGGTGGTGGAGTGATAGTCTTCCATTCCCCTGCCTTCTGGTCTAACAGGTAGGCATCTTTATTGATAGTGTAATCTTTATTGTGTGTGTCATTCACAGAAATGACACCTCCGCATACAAACACCTTGTTGTCACCGATCGGACACACTGCATGTGAAATGTCCAAGGCACAGTTGTTGGGCAGCAAGGGCACACAGTTGGCAGTCTTACTGGATTTAATCTTCTGCAAGTTAATTTCTATACTCTGCCTGTGGCTGTGCACCTTCAGGATGTTATCCTGCTGGAAAGACAGGAGAGGCCTGTGGTTGAACTCAATGGGAAAGGTGATACACTGCACTACTTCCCCAGTGCTAGTATCAAAGCAATCCACTACCCCTACTCGAGAAATGAATCCGTTGACCAGACACCTGCCTGTCACTATGTATATGTTCCTGTTTCCCTTGGTGATCACTGCCGTTCCATCCATTGGGATGCTCATCTTCCCCACTAGACTCCAGATCTCCTTCCTCTCATCATACCTGTAGATGTTGGAAACGTATCTCCTTGGAGCGATGCTCCCTCCCAGGGAGTATACAACTTCCCCACAGTTCACCATGGTATGAAAGACTAACCCCATGGGCAGATCAGGCAGTTTGGTCCAGGAGTTCTCATCCATATCATACCTCCAGGCAGTCCTCAGGCCTGAAATCTGCTCCGTGGTTCCCCCAGAAATGTAAATGTACTTACCCACAGAAATTGCACTAAGAGCAGCTGCTTTGTATGGCATCTCCGTGAGTTTCAGCCAGATATCCTCCTCGATAATATAGGCAAACACAGAATCATTGAATTTGCCCTGGGCTTTCTGACCCCCTAGAATCACTACAGCATCCAGCAAGGCTCCTTTCCTTTGGAAATTCAGCAGCCTGCCTGGTTTGTCCTGCTTTCGGTCCAACAAGATGTTCTCTATCAGGGCCAAGGGGGTGCTGCTGTTCTCCATCACTCGCACTTTGTTGCTGGCAAATATGAGTGTTTTGTTGGAGACTCCATTTAAGTGGATGTAAGAGAAGAACTTCTTGAAATATTTCTCCCGCTCTTCCTTTTTGAAATGTACCCAATGCAGGAGTGAGGTAAGGGCTTGATCCTCATTCTGCACATGCAAATGTTCATCCCGAAGCAGCCGGCCAAAGATTACAGGGGGGCATTGCATGAAGTGGACAGACCCTTCTTGGCCGGCCCAGTAGTGGAAGTTATCCCGAATAGAAGCATAGGCACAGTCAGAAACCTCTTTGAGCTCAAAGAGCTCGGCCAACAGTAGGTAGTGTAGGGAGTTGTTTCTTTTGATGGATTTCAGCAGGAAGTCCGTGCAGTGAACCCCCAGTTGGGGCGTGTTGAAGTACTGGGCCCCCCTCAGCAGCTCTTCCACGTTCTCTTCAGAAACCACCACCTTCCCACTATAGAAATAGTCCATGAGCTGTTCCACAGAAGAAGAGCTCAGGTAGTTTGAGTCAATGTTGATAAAGAGCTCATCTGTGGTCTTCATGTCGTTGCTGGAGATGAGGCTTTTCACCAGGGGGGAAACGGCAGCTAGAACATTGCGGTGGGCGAAGAAGATGTGGTTGTCCACGTTCAGGGCCATGTCCCAGTACTCCTTCCTCTTTCTCTGCTTGTTGAGGTTCTGAAGGACAAAGTTGTTATAGTTTTTTTCTGTGAATTCCAGTTTCATGTTTCCTCTTTTTTCGATGAAATAGAAGGCACAAGAGAGTAAGTACTGAAAACATAGAATTTTTCTTGTGCTTGTTGGTATGGCTGTCTCCTGTTAAACAAGGGCTACAGGGAGAGTGATGTAATAGAGCAGAGCGACCACATCATAATGCAACATCCAGGGCAGGAATTCCTCACATCCTTACCTCATTCTTACTGGATGTTGCTTACGCAAAGGCAATGTAGACAAATAGAGTGGTTAAGAGCCTTGGACAAGGAGACCTGCGGTCCCATTCCTGAGTCTCCCACCCTCCTAGCTCTATGACCTCAGATGGGTCACAGCCTCTCTCAGTCTAATCTCCTCATCTGTAACATGGGGGTAATAACACTTGCCCTATTTCATAATTTTGTGGGAAAGTGATTTGTTAACTCCAAAGCACTGTACATAGTATGAGTAATTATAAAACTTATAACTACATAAAGTCTGAGAAGGCTTGGGAGACAATGTTACATATACATGTACACACACATACCCATACCCATGCATGTGTACACACACATATAGATTCACCCCCCACACCATACACTCTGAGGGACATTCCTTGTTTTAGCCAAAACCAAACTATTTCCTATACTCTCAACACATACACTGTGTATAAAAATATGTATATATGTATACATGTGTATATAGACACTGTATATAGTATGTATATGTATATATGTGTATGTATATGTATATATGTGGGTATGTGTATGTGGGTATATATATATATATATATGATATATACATATATATCATATATATATACACACACACACACACACACAATGTGCAAATGTGTGTGTATATATATATGTATGTGGGGGTATATGCATACTGTATATATACCCCCACCCCGACACACAGTGTGCATATGTGTGTATATGTATATGTATGTGTGTATATGTGTGTGTCCAGAGTGGGAAAAATAGTTTGTCTTTGGCTAACATAAGGAATGTCCTTCTCTACACAGTTCATAAGACTAATCAGAATGATAACACATTGTCATTGTCGTTTGCCCTTTGTTCTTGAAGAGGACCATGACATCAGGGAGGTGATGCCATGACTTGCAAGTGAATTGGATTTAAGTGAGGGAGGCTGTGCAGAGTCACCAGCCTCACTTTCTCCTCTGGAGCCATCTGGGTCCAGCGTCAAGATAGAGGTCAGGATGCCTGGAGATGGCCCCTACTTCATTACTTACAGACTGGCAAACACATTCCTTTCCTTTAAAGAAATTGGTGGGCTCGACTTGCTTGAATCTGTCTTGATGGGAGGTGGCATAGAATAAGAGTGTGAACTTGGAGTCAGAAGAATTGGGTCCAAGTCCTAGCTATGTCACTTATTGCCTGGGTGACCATAGACAAGTGACTTATCTCTGTGGGTCTCAGTTTCCTTATCTTCAAAATGGAGGAGTTGTGTTAAATGATCTCTAAGATCTCTTCCAGCCCTAATTCTATGATCCTATGACCTGATAAAACAAAACAAAACAAAACAAAACCACCAGAATGAGTTTTTGGTTTTGTATTCTCTCCTGATTTGTTAATTTTTTGCTTCTTCTTCATCTGTCTTACCCCTACACAGTATTAGCCTGTATTTTTATTACTTTCATTTGTTTTTAAAAATTAAATTAAAATTTAGAAAGTTAATTATTTATTTTGAACATTCTTTTCTTTTTAAATTTTGAGTTTCAGATTCTATTCCTCTTTCCCACCCTTCTCCCACCCACTGAGAAGGCAAACAATATGTCAATTATACATGTGAAATCATGCAACACATATTTCCATATTAGCTATATTGCAAAACAAAGCAAAAAAAGAAATAAAGTGAGAAAATTATACTTCAATTTGTACTAATAGTTCATCACTTCTCTCTCTGGAGGTGGATAGCATTTTTTCATCATGAGTCCTTTGGGATTGTCTCGGATCATTATATATTGATAAGCGTGACCAACTCTATCAGAGTTGATCATCATTACAAAATTGCTGTTACTGTGCACAATGATCTCCAGGTTCTTCTCATTTTACTTTGTTTTAGTTCTTATTAGGGCTTGCTATATTTTTCTGAAACCATTCTGTTTATCATTTCTTATGGCACAATAGTATTCCATCATAATCATATGCGATAACTTGTTCAGCATCCCCTCAATTTCCAATACTTTGCCACCATAAAAATAGCTACTATAAATATTTTTGTACCTGTAGGTCCTTTTCCTTTTTCTTTGATCTCTTTGGGATACAGACGTAGTCGTGGTATTGCTGGATCAAAGGCTGTGGATAGTTTTATAGCCTTTTGGGCATAGTTCCAGATTGTTCTCCAGAGTGGTTGGACCAGTTCACTGCTCTACCAACAATTCATTAATGTACCTATTTTTCCTCTTTCCCTTCAGCATTTTTCATTTCTATGAGTGGTACCTCAGAGTTGTTTTAATTTGCCTTTCTGTAATCAATAGTGATTTAGAGCATTTTTTCATGTGACTATAGATAGCTTTGATTTCTTCTTCCAAAAAATACCTGTTTATATCCTTTGACCTTTTATCAGTTTGGAAATAGCTCTTATTTTTATAAATTTGACTCAGTTCTATACTCAGTATATATCTGAGAAATGAGGACTTTTCAGAGAAACTTGCTGTACATTTAAAAAATATTACTTCATTGTCTATGGTGCCTTTTAGTAAAATGTAGTTTCCCTGATGTATCTCTTTTAATTAGGTCGATTTTTGCTTTTGCTTTAAGATCGTGATTGCTATCTATCTGTACCTTTTTTACTTCACATGAAGTGTGAGATTCTGCTCCAGCCATTTGTTTTAATCCTGTGTGTATATTTTGATTTCAAGTATGTCTCTTATACACAACATATTGTTGGATTCTGGTTTCTAATCCATTCTGCTACCTGCTTTTGTTTTATAGGGTTAGCTTATCCCATTCACATTCACAGTTATGATTACTGACTGTATATTTCCTTCCATCTTATTTTTTTCTGCTTATCTCTCTGTCTGTCTGTCTGTCTCTTTCCTGTCCCCCCTGTAAAGTCTGTTTTGCTTCTATCACTGCTTCTTTTAATCTGACCTCCTTTTTATCATTCCCTTTCCCTCCTATTTCCCTATTGGGTAAGATAGATTTCTATACCCAACTGAGTGTGTATATATATTCTTTCTTTGAACCAATTCAAGTGAGAGTGAGGTTCAAGCACTTATGGAATATCTTAAATTTAACAAAAAGAGGCAGGCATAGCGTGGAGAGACTACTTACCAAGGAGGTGACACCATTTAGCTAATTGTAACTTTCCTGCTTCTATGGCTGCCATGCTGGAAAGCTGGACAGTCCTGAGGGAAAGCAACTGCTGCCTTCCTCATGGGCTCGTTTTTGTACTCGGGCCACCAGAAAGCTATGCCAATGGCCCAGTCCTTAGTCCTTTGAGCCAATTAAGTCTTGAGGACAGTTTCACTACTTTTGGAGAAAAACTGGCCTAACCGACTCAGCATCTATTGCTCCTACCACATTCCGTTCTGTAATGGCAAGGTCCTAAAGGTATTCTGGAACAGAGGTGTCAAACTTCCCACTGCAAAACTCCTGAATGCAGCCTAAGCCAGATTTAAATGTAATTGGAAAATGTTTAACAAAGATGAAAGTGCAGTACAATATAGATAATGCTAATTTGTGGTTTTCTGAGTCAACATATAGCCTGCAGGCAATTATTTCTATTTGAGTTTGACACCACTGTTTTAGAGGACCTTCCACTCCTTTGCTGGCTTTCAGGCCATTCTTGGAGAAGCCTAATTTCAGGATCCCTGAAGGAGTGACAACATATTGAGGAAAATGAAGACCAGAAATCTCAGGCTTCGCCTCCCCCCTTCAGGAGGACCTTAACCATCTGGACCATGTGGTAAGTGATGCCCAATCTTCACAGTTCACAGTAGCTGAACCAGCAATAGAAGTATGAGGATGACAGTACCAATGACATTTCCAACACAATCATCTTCACTGTGGATCAGGGTCATTTATAGTAAGGTGGCTAAGATGTCATTACCCTGTTATAAGCAGCACATTCAGGGGCCAGGTTGAACACCAAAACTCACTCTGCACCATCCTCACTCAGTGTACAGTGTTCTACTAGTACCTGGGAGCCCCATGTATGTGAGGAGGGGGAAAGGACTATATCTTCACTCCTTTAGAAACATCTGTAAGGGATTGCCCCCCTTCTTCTGCAGGGGCTGGGTTGACAGTTTCACTTCCTTCCAGTCATTGGAAAGCAGAGGTCTTCTCCAGGACTCTACTTTTTGACCCACTAAGCCAGGGGTGGGGAAGCTGCGGTCTTGAGGCCATCTGTGGCCCTCTAGGTCCTCAAGTGTGGCCCTTTGACTGAATCCAGACTTCACCATCTGTGATTTTGGATTCAAAGTCTGTGACTTTGGATTCAGTTAAAGGGCCACACTTGAGGACCTAGAGGGCCACATGTGGCCTCAAGGCTGCAGGTTCCCCACCCCTGCACTAAGTCTTTTCTAGGGAGTTGTCCATTGGCCATTGTTACTATAGTGGCTGCTATTTAGGGGGGTCTTATCAGTTCCAAATTACAGTAAGCAGAGTGCTACAGTGGGCCTGCCTGTGATGTTGTTCATGCTGGTGTCCACTCCTCTGTAGCCTATGCGGTTTCCCACTCTGCTGCCCTAGGGCTCACACTGCTATCCACTACTACTGTTCTCCTCCTCCCCAAACTACTTCTTTTTAAAATTTTATTTATTTTTAGTTTTCAACATTCATTTCCACAAGATTTTGAGTTCCAAATTTTTTCCCCATCTCTCCTCTCTTCCCACCCCAAGACAGCATGCATTCTGATTACCCTTTCTCCCAGTCTTCCCCCACTTCTATCACCTCCCCTTCTCTTCTCCCCTTCCCCTTCTATTTTCCTGTAGGGCAGGATAGATTTCTACCCACCATTACATGTATATCTTATTTCCCATTTGCATGTAGAAACAATTTTTAATATTCATTTTTAAAACTTTGAGTTCCAAATTCTCTCCCTTCCTCCCTCCCCACCCACCCTCACTGAGAAGGCAAGCAATTCAATATAGGTTATACCTGTGTAGTCATGTAGACCACTTCCATAATAGTTATGGTGTGAAAGACTATATTTCCCTCCATCCTATCCGGCCCCCCATTCATTCTATTTTCTCCTTTGTTCCTGTCCCTCCTCAAAAGTGTTTGCTTCTGATTATCTCCTCCTGGAATCTGCCCTTCCTTCTATCATCTACCCCTCTTA